CCCCCACCTATTGATTTTCGGGGGCCTAAGTGTCTGGAAAAAATAACCGGTCTACATTTCAGCACGCCTCCCTGAAAAAATTCTGGATCCACCGTGCTAGCCCCCCAAAATATTGGTTCTAGAACCGCGCGCCTGTGCAAATGATCTACTCTACCTTTAAACATCATGCTTAAATGCTCCATTCCTCTATTATCCCCATTCATAATCTCTTTCCTCAAAAGCCATTAAAAAAACTTCCAAAATTTGAAAAACTCCAATAATTTTGTTCCACCATTTTACTCAATAAAGCGCGGGTTCTCGCTACCAGTTCAGAACATTTAATGCACAGAGGTGTTTAAAACGGCAGTAAATTTGAAACCACCCACATGATGGGTTCTCGACCAATAAGAATAAAACGATAAAAACAGCATGCATGAATTTGTTTTATTTTGTTCATGCACACAGTCCATTGTCTGAATACCATAGGAATAACGGTTCCGTCAGGGGGCTGCGCCTGGCCGATGTACTTGTACAGCTGACGTCGCTGGACCATCTCCAGAATGCGACGGGACTCAGCCAGGGCTGGATCAACGGTTCGAATGATCTGAAGGACGATGTCGTCAGTCATATTGGTGTAGGCCACCATGTTATCAATTGCTTCCGACATCTTCAACGTTTTCAACATGCCCCTGTACAGGGTGCATAAAAAAGGTAATCCAAAAAAAATAATGGACAAAAGTGTTATCACCATACGTACTTTGAAGCGGAATCAATTCGTACGAAAACTTATGATGGGGACTTCACAATACTAAATCCTGTAGAATCCCTTTAAAAAAAACTCCTTGAGGATTTACAAGGATATGTGTGAGTTAGGGATTATTAAAAGAAAAGAAGCCACGTTTGCCAATGGTTGCTCATTAACCCGTTGTAAACTCTTTGAAAATAATTCAGTTGCTAATTCTACTCACCCTTCCTTAAATGTGACCTTGAAGTCTTCGTTTGCCTTTTCCAATGCTTCAACAAGCCTAAATCAAAATGCAGAATTTAAAGAAAGAAAAAGACAGAAACTAATTTATGTCCAGTAAGGGTTCAAGTGGAATCTTTTGAAAACTTAAATACAATTTGAACATCTTAGAAGAGAATAAAATTAATGCAAACAAACGAGTTTTTGGATCAGCAGCGGCAATTTGTTGTCAACATGGGGGGGAGGGAAGGGGGGACCAAGCAGCAGCTTTGAATTTTGAAAAGTGTGTGTGCTAGCGTTTGTTTATGGTGTAAATCGAGGACACACACGTGCAACATCATCGGTGAATCGAGGACAGGAACCAAATCGAGGACTCCTCGGTTAAAAAACGTGTACAAAACCAAACGAGAGCTGTTGCGAAAAAGTTAGAGTACAAACAAAGGAAAAGGGAAGAGGAACAAACAAATAACACCATAAACAAACGTGTGTGGGTATATATGGGGGGTTGTGGGGTACAGGAACAATGGGAGGTACCCCACAAGGCATTTTTTGACCTTGTGGGGTACTAAAATGGTACCCCACAAGTTTTTCACAAAATAGATATGTGGATTTTACAAAAAAACTTGGAATTTACAAGGTGGGTTGATGTGTCCCAAACGGAAGGGTTTTCAAAAAGGGAATTAAGTCTGAATTTCAGCCAAGGAAATTAATTCTGGTTAAAATAAGAGCATTTTGGAATTAGTGTGCGACATTGCAACGTTTTAGTACACGAGAACAAAGGAAATACCCCACTTGTATGCCCGTGTAAGGGTGTGTGTGAATAGGGGGTGGGCGGGGTGGTAGGGCGGTTGTTGTATACTATCTAAATACAGAGGGCGCTGTTCGAAAATGTTGGACACAAACTCACATGCATTCGGTGATCTTGTTCACCTTGTGCTGGCAAGCGCTGCGATAGATGCGGTTTCGTGCGTGGAACATGTCATACAACTTTCCACCTCCTGGAAAGGAAACAACCAAAAGACAAAGACAAATAGATCTCTTTTCAGTATTCAACCTAACAAGTACCATTGAGTTATTGAATCACCTAGTGTGACCAAAATTCCACCAAGGCAGTACAAATTTCGGTGTGATCCACCACTTGAAACAAGGTAAACGCGCACTGCCGGAGAATTCCCATTGGGCTACAATTTTATTATGCACAAAAGATCACAAACGATTGCAAAGTTTGCAGAGTGCACCAACTGTAGCTATTACAAAAATCTTAGGATACGGGGAACAGGACTAACTCATTCCAACTTATTCAGAGCACCTAGTCAGTATTTGGCCTACCCATTTAGACTCAATTCATACAATTCTGTGTACTTGGTGGATTGGATTCAGATATAAAGGACTCAACTGCCATGCAATGTTTGAGCTCTTTCTCTCCGTAAGATGATGAAATTCCAAACCAACCTTATCCCTGGCGCATATCTGCTTCTTGCCGTCCGCCTCAATGACTCGGCAGAACTTCATGAATCGGTGGCAGTCAAAGCTGCTAGAGAAGCCCAGGTTGTGGCAATCTCGCAGGAAGTAGTCCCACTTGTCCACGTCGATTCCGTTACGCTTGTTGGCGACAATCTCGTACATGAAGCTCTTGTCCTTGGTACGGCCTGTGTACGGCCAAGGTTTCTGGAAAAAAAATACGAGATGACTTATACGATTTCTTCTGAGCAGTGATGAGTGAATTTGGAAGACATACCCAGATGTAACACGGGCAAAATCTCGGGTTTCCGTAGAAATCTTAAAATGAAATTCCATGACTTTTCCCATGACATTTCCATGACAAAATTAAGGCTTTCCAGGGCCAATTTCTACGCTGCTTTGGCAAGTAGCCTTTTTTCACAAGGGGTCTATATTCGATGTTCCCCAATACCTATGTTCCCCCAAATCCTTACGATTAGGGTTACGATTAGGGGTAAGGGTTGGGGAACGTAGGTATTAGGGAACATATAGGTAGCACCCATTTTCAATATGGCCAGTCTTCTGAGGCAAGGGCGCCACCCCCTTTCAGCCTTCCAATTTGACACATTACCACTCAGCACTAGATCAGTACTTGAGTACTCGCTGGCACAAGTTGAAGTAAGTTCTCGCGAGCAGCAATTCATTTGAACGATGTATGACAAAGATAAATGGCAAAAGTGGCGTGTACTTAAATCGTGTACAAAGTCTATGGGATTTGTGGCACAAAAAGAAGCCAAAAAAATGAAAATAATCAGAACAAAAACAAAGGCTTTTCGCAATTTTTTTTTAAATTTGCGAAAAAAGCCAAAAAAATCAGAACAAAAAGAAAGGTTTTTTTTCGCACATTTGCAAAAAAGGCAATAAACTGATATGCAAGCTGGAAGACTGCGATAGCCAATAAATTATGCATCATGCACGTATGGGCTGTTTAGGATTCCATGACTTTTATCTGTAATTTTTTTTAATATCAACTTTCCATGACATCTTAAATAACACAATTCCATGATTTAAATTGAATTCCAGGGTTTCAATGACAGTCGGAATCCAGAAAGACTTAATATTAGAAGTGGTTCTGGTAAGAACCGGCAACTTTGAAACGATGTTTGGTCTGTATGTTTTGGTCTGTATTGAATTTTCTCCAGTAATTTTTCAGAACCACACAACTCACACACAAAAAATTGCCGTCACATGTACATGTGGTTCCAGCAAATTGACACCTTTTCCGGTTTTCTTTGAATACAGAACCCTACTCAGCGGTTTCACCGGGCGTAGCCCCCAGCCCCTTTACTCGACTGAATTTCTCCCTCTCACCCACGCTGAAAAAAAATATTTGCCGTACAGAAAATCATAACCATTAACTTTGCTTATGAGCTACATTTTTAATAAGCCATTTGCGAGTAACTTATACCCTTTGGGATTTACATTTGAAAAACATCTGGTACACTGACTTGCTCAGAATGCTTGGCACATTTTAACTTTGAATTCTCCAGTCGAAAGGAAGCTCTTGCATAGTTACGTGAGAGACGCTCAGCACCAATACATTGTTCACAATGGGTGAGAATGGCACAAGACACCAGACCATGCCAGAGCTGGGGGTACTAGCGTAAGGCTTGCCCCAAATCACGTGATATAGTAACAGTCTCTTTGGTTGGGAGAATGCAAAGTGAAAACGTGTAAAGCATGTGATTAAGTCAGCGTTCCAGATTTTTATTCAAATTTAACTCGCCAATAGCTTATTTGGCCCACCCTTAAGGAAAATTCTGGTAAGAACGCTCAACCCACGAAGTGAAAACCACCCCCCCCCCCACGGACCCGCACTGGCAGTTCTGCCTATGCTCTTACATCACTGGTTTGCGGCCCCAACAATTTGCTCCTTGATGAAACTGATGTCTTGGGCGTCTAAACCATACTTGGCAAAGGCGTCTATCAGTTGGTTGGCTTCGATCAGATGGTCAAACATGTCCACCGAGGCTTTCTCGTGCTGTAAAGATGGGGTGAACAGAACAATCTAAATTATCGAGACAACAAACACAAGTAAAATGGATAAAGTGTTTATGAATGATCATATAGTACGAAGCTTAGGCATTTATCTGAACCATTGTGTTAAAATCTACTTCATTAAAACCCTCCCTGATCTCTGGCTGGCAATTTCAACAGGGCCAGCCCAGCAGCCACGTGACTGTTTTTAACACTTGAGTGCTCCTGCCTTCATGAAGCACGATTGACTGGCGGTGATTGTTATGAAACCTGATATAGCAGTTGACTGCGGGAGATTGATAAGCCAGCTGTGCCTACCAGCCACCTGCGTCTGTCTGTTGATCTGACTGTCACCGTGTCTACGAGAAATATATGATATTACTCAGTGTTGGTGATAGCCAGTGTAAAAGGCGTGGCAAGGTGATAGGATTGAAATTTCGACTGTCCTTGACTGATCAAACAAAAGGAGGGATTAATTCTGACTGCGGAGATGGCTTTGTTTATCACAAGTCAGCTATGAGTCAATCACAAGGTCAGTCATCCGAGGATGCATAGACAGAAGAATGTCATCACAGTTTGCTTAAAAGGTTGTGGAATGTCTTAACACTGAAGGACTTGCGTGTGTGTTCGGAGGAATTGTGAGAGCAGGACTACAACTCTGATATTTAAATGAAGAGAAAATAACAGAAAACATTTTTGTATCAAATAAGATGATGTTCTACTTTTTATCAATGGGGTGTGGCTAAGCATTGTGGCATTATTCTCCCCTAAAGACTTTGGGAAGTCGGGTTGGTGTAGTACATGTACGAGTACGAGTACGAATAAATTTCCACTACGATTACGAGTACGAGTACGAGTATGAGTACGAGTACTTTTTCATGAGTACGAGTATGAATACGAGTACTTTTCCATGAGTACAAGTGTGAGTATAGGGATTTTTTCTTGCGAGTATGAGTACGAATACATGCATGAGAAGGCCTACGAGTACGAATACAAGTATGAGTACGGAAAAAAGTACTCGAGTACGATTGCGAGTACTAAACAATGCAAAAGGTAAGCTGGTTCACCAGCTTACAGTGTAAGGTTTAATTTCTGACAGTCTTTCGATTCAAGGGCGGATCGGGGGGTGGTGGCGCAACGGGGGCCATGCATGCCCCCCCCCCACCCCCCTCAAAAAACCCCAAACCCAATTTTAATTTGCTTTAAGTGACGTCGAATAAAGGCAGGCACTGCGTACACCACCACAACTTTTCCTCAAAAAGATTTGGTTAGAGTGGTCAGAAATTGCCTCAAAGCGCACCACATGATTCTAGAATCCAACAATTTTCGGGACACTTAATTAAGCGGGCACGAAACGTTGACTTTAACCCAAGTATGTTTACTCTAACATGTCTTTTGACATTTTTATTAAGGGAATGGGGGCAAAGTCACACAAAATCTAAAGGTACAAACTACAAGTTTATGGTACTCTCGCAGCAAAATAGGCAGCCACAAAAGAGAAAGACTTCATTCTCATGGTTAATAAATATGTTCTACATGCAGGTAAATTATGTAAGTCACACATACTTATGTTCCCCCCTACCGATGTTCCCCGAAATCCTTACCATATATAACCCATCGGTATTGGGGACGGACATAGGTATTGGGGAATATCGGGTATATAGGCCCCATATTTATTCACTATACGTAATGTGCTTCCTTAGCATATAAATATTAATTTAAAGAAACTCCACTTACATATCCAACGTCATGTTTGCCAGAACATTATTTTCTTATTTTTGGGAGAATTTTAAAAGGGTAGCCTACACAATGCACTTCAAAATAAAAATTGTAAAAAATCGCACCAAAGTAAAATTTCTCCCTTAACTTTGTAGCAGGTAGGTAAACTCAAGGTTTTATGAACGGGAATGTTTAGAGCGTGATGAAATTTCTGTGAATTTTTTTGCGATCTCAGCGGCTGCGACACGTTAAGAGACATCAGCAATATTTTCTGCTAATTGAAATCGGACACTGCAGGCAGGTGTTTTTTGTTCTGATCATGGGCGTCGCGAGGGGGGTTGCAAGGGGGGCGCTTGCCCCCCCCCCCCCGGAAAAGCAAAAAAAGAAGGGGGAAAAAAGAGGAAGAAAAAAAAAAGAAAAAAAGAAAAAGAAAAAGAGGCGCGAAGTCATAGTGGTGTAAATTTAATGAGTGGGGGGGGGGGCAAAATGTCCCTGCCCCCGTCTAAAACTGAGAAATCGAGAATTTGTTCAGAAATACAAGAATTTTTGGGGAAAAATATGTTTTGCCCCCCTCTAGAAAAAATCCTGGCGACGCCCATGGTTCTGATGGCACAGTCAGGTGGTCATATTTACTTACCGTCCACTTGGATTTCGGCTTGACAGCCGGAATGAAGAGCTGATCGAACACGTGGAAAATGGGCCATGGCCTGAATAAGAATGGAAAGTAACAACACGGGAATATTTAACTGTGTCCAAATTACTTGGCTACTGCTGGACAAAAAGACGTGTGGACTAGTGGAACTTGGTGTACCTCTACAAAGATGAAAATCTATGTTATAAATTTGTGGCGGTCATTGGGTGAAAACTGAAACTTTAATAGTAACGGAGACTAAAATGTCTTTTAGGATATACAACTTTTTTGAATAAACTTAAAGGACTCGTTAGCATTTACAAATAAAAAAAAATCTAAAATGACTGCTGATAAGGACTGCATTCAAGCCAGCCCGACTAAATCTCAACCCATCGGCTGTACATAGGCCGGGGCAGGTAAATCTCCGTTTACACATTTTCATTCTCACGCAAGTACAGTACACGATGTGACAACAAATGTAAACGCGAACAAGGATACCTAAGAATTAAAATGCCAGATGTGAAAGGAGGTCGGATCGTACGTAAATTTGGTTTTCACCCAATTAGTGATTTCTCGTCATTTTTTCCCCGAGAAATACCAAGATAAAATTCCAACATGAATGTTTCTTATGGTGATTACATTTAGATATCATTCTGTCAAAAATTATAGCAAGAAAAAGAGCAACCTAGTTTAAAATGCGCGCGCGTTCAGGAGACTCGCCACGTGACCCCTTTTTTCCCCGTCCCTATATATAAAACAAGTGAATTCACACCAAAACAAAATTGAATTCACTTCTGTCTGTAACTACCCAAAAGTATAACGTCATTTGGCCTAAAATCATGGCCTACTGGCAAAGCTGGCTTAGCAAAGACAGCAGGACTTTTCCAGCCAGTAAAACGATGAATATTTTACGACAGCTGAATAAATGCCCGACATCCAATTGGTGGGTCGTTGATCACGTGTCATTGAACTGTTTGCCCCAACGCGAGGCACGGCCGCACGGCAAAAATAGAAGTTTACTCCACGGTACATATAATATAACTTACATTGCACGGTCACGCGTTTGGTGGCTCTAGGCAATAAGATAACAAGGATTTATTCAGGTGTTGTATAAAACAAATATAATGAATGTTTCACATTCGTGCAATGGTAAGAATAATTTCATAAGGTGACAGATTGAATGTGCCACTCCACTCTGCTTTACCTCGTAGAGCGGAACATTCCATTTGGCACCTCATGAAATTGTTCTTGCCATTGCACTCACAAAGAAGTTCTTGTTAATACCCTTACCCAAGTCATGGCAGAGACCCGCAATTTCAACACAAAGGACGTCTTTCTCTGTGATGTTCAGCTCTGGCTGCCTTTCCCGCAGAGTCCGGCATAATACCCCTGCCAAGTGACACACACTGACGGAAAGTAGACAAAACGTATAGTTAGTCCCGCTAACCCTGAGCCTCTTGCTCAGAGTTATTTTTTTTGCAGAATGTCAGCCAGTGTCATGCAATTTTCAGGAGTACCGGTCCATCTGGGAAAGGCTGTGGCGGAATAATTATGTGAGGCGCTCTAGCAAAATGAGATGGAAAGCACAGGCAGAAGTGGAGAAAAATGCAAATAACCAAATGGTGTTGGAGATGACTTCTTTTCAATGTGCAGATTTGTTGATATTCATAATCTTTGACATATCTGTTACATTTATTTAAGGAAATAGTGTAAAAAAAATATGGAATAATAAAGTCTATTCAAGGGAAATCAAATGACAATGTTAATTTTCACGACTTCATACTCGAAATTTAAAGGCCTTTTTCTCAGTACACTAGAACGCCACTAAAACGGACACGATGCTGGGGTCAATAAAAAGTATTCATTATATTAGTGGTCGTTCGTTATAGTTATTGTGTATTACAAAAGGGAATGAATGTGTGCTTGGTCGGTTTTAAACACTTTGTTTAAGACCGGTTGCAGTCTGGATGCTGATAATGACCCGAGCCAAAGGCGAGGGTAATTATCTATGTGATTCGTGCGCCAACAAAAGAGGGCGCGTTTTTACCTCTTTTGAGAGCTCCGTGCTTCGACGGGACACACAGCGTACCCGTACTATCCGCTCCGTGCACAAGTACCCCATCAACGGCCAGAAAAGGAGAGTTGGGGGTGATCTAGACTGGTTCCCGATCCATCCACTGCGTATTTCGAATGTCTCCAAAGTTATTGAAGGCGGAGATTAGTCTCGGAGACCATTGCAAGTTGAATTCGAATGTATTCGCGCTCCGACGACGCCTGATGCTCACGCGAAGACGCGGTTGCTATAGCTTTTGCACACTCAGGAAGTCAAGCGTACTTTGCGCACGAACCAGTACAGTACAGTACGCGCACGCTGTGGCCCCCGTCCACGGAGCTCTCAAAAGAGGTAAAAACGCGCCCTCTTTTGATCGCGCACGGAGCCCATAATGGACCGATCCAGTAAGCTCCTCCCACTGCGCACGTGGGCAAATTAACACGTGCTCCTCTCCAATGCCACACTGCATTTCCCTGCCGCGCGCATCATACGCGCGTGCACGCATGTCGGACTTTTGTGCACGCATGTCGGACATAAATCACGGCTGTGATTGGTCAGAATACCATGGAGCGGTGCTTACTGGATCTGTCCATTGGTTCGCGTTCGAAGTACGCCCGACTTTCTGAATGTGCAAAAGCTATTAGCCACCGCGTCTTCGCTTGAATTGAGCATTGGTCTCCGAGACTAATCCCCGCCTCCAATAACTTTAGATACATTAGAACTACGCATTGGATGGATCGGGAACCAGTCTAGGTCACCCCAACTCTCCTTTTCTGGTCGTTAATGGGGTACTTGTGCACGGAGCCCATGGATAATAAGTATAGACATTGGCGCGCGCGTCGCGCGTTCTGCGTAAAGTGGCGCAGAGCGCAGCGGTGCCGATGTAGTGTGAGTTTAAGACTACGAAATATTTGCTCGTACCCCCGCCCTGCAAACAGGGCGCTGGGAAGGTCAGATGTGAGCTTCACAGAATCTTGTGAAGGAAGTTGGGATGGCATTCTGGGTAATTTAATCATGACCTATGTATAAAGCATCTGGTTGCCGCTGTAGACTGCCGTCTTACTAATGGAGATCAATGTGGACCGCGGTTAGCCAATGCGCGCAAATACCATCCGAAAAATTTGCCATAGAAATACATGCACACCATACCGCATGTGATTTCTTTTTCATTGCGGACCATGTGGACAGATTTTGAGCGTCGAAGATATGCATTTCGACCCTTCGTGAATTCGAAACGGAGCCTGAGCAACTGACGGGAGTTGAAACTTTACAAATCAGATAAGTTTTACAGATTTTCCTACATTATTAATTTATTATGCATTTCAACCCCAAAAGGGCGTCTTATTTATGAATGGGAATAAAAGAGTGACGAATGACTCAGTCTTAACGGCCGTTTCAAACATTGCAGGGTCGTGGTCGTGATGACGTGTAGGTTACAGGTAACGCACAATCTAGCCAATCAGAGCCTTAATTCGTCTGCCCTTCCCAGCGTCCTGTTTGCAGGGTTATCAACACGATGGAGCACACGCCGACTAGCAGCTGGTGTGCCCATGTTTTTCCCCCATAGGGGAAACGCCTGTCTGCAACTTCATGGCAACTTCCAATTTCTTCGTAATGAGTTCATTTTTCCACTTCAGAAATTGGGTTTCCATTTGCAGTCGCAGCACATCAGCCTCAGCACTTGATGGGCCCACCGGACCTTTCGAGCCTTCGCTCATACGTCAAAACGCGTGGGGCAAAAGTTGCGTTACGCGCACCTTTATTTCCGTAGGTTTGTATGGAAAGGTATATTTTTATGTCCGTAAAAGTAATATTTTTTGACCTGTGCTAGTTATTTCCCCAACAAAATTCCGAATGGTTATTGGGTTCCCAATTAAGTTGCATGTTCATTTCGATGTTTGGCCAGAACATCTCACATGTACCAAAATCTGGGTGTGACTTTAGATTTTTGCTTAGTTTCACGTATTAAAGTCGTAGCCTTGTGCATACAAATTACAAGCAATTTTCGTCAACAAATGACCATCTTCACTCACCTTTGACTCTTGAACAGAATGATCAAACATGTTCACACCTTGTAATCAGATATACCATTAACTGATACACATTTTTTTCCATGTACGTGAACTCGCTTGACCTTTACTTCTGGGTTAACCGGAAGGTCAAAGTTAGGTGAATTTAAAATACAGACAGCCTTGATAAATGATGCCTTGGGCAACAATTCTTATTCCCGGGCACAAAACCGCTTGACCTTCACTACTGGTGTTACCGGAAGTGCAATAAAAATTGAATTTAACTCGAAAGCGGAAGCTCTTTACAATATATAGCCAAATAAATTATGGAACTGTTTAGACTGGCATAAAGGGCACAAAATCAGCATTTTGACGTCATCATTTGAAAGGGCGCCCTCTAGCGGTACATCAAATTGGGTTTCCTTTTCCCGTCCAAATTAAACCAAATCGCCCCTTGTCATTTTTTATAGTCAACTACATCATAAGTTTGCAAGGTTTCAAAATTATGATGTCATCAGACTAGTAGTTACTGTAGGGAGAACTTAAAAAAATAACCTCATTTGATCCCTGTCATGACTTTGTTCGTAGCCCAAATAACGATATCCGTTACAATGTTGACCTTTGGATATATAATGCTGTGACGTCATCCAACCGGAAGTAAATTCATATTGAGCATGTGTCCTCTCTGAACTAAATCAGCATTCACTTTCCCTTTTTGGACTGATGACGTCATCAAACCAGAAATAACTTGAACGTGTACATAAAATGTATACTGAAATGTGATACATTTTTGTTTTAAACAAAATCATTGGTGATACTGGAAAGGTTAAATTTTCGTGATCCTTCAGCCCGCCTGTGGGCGACCGAGTGAGTAAGTGAGTGAGTGTGTGTGTTTGTTCTGACATAAAAATTATTCATAACTTAACTGGGCTGTGTCGCATGAAATAGTTGCCGGCCCGACCACTCTGCGTTTGTAACTCAACAAATTAATGCCTTCACCTCTAGTTTCATACGTTATTGTAACTTCACGATGAATATGTGTCCTCTCCGAACTAAATCAGTTTTCACCTTTCCTTTTTGGACTGATGACGTCATCAAACCAGAAATAACTTGTAAGTGTACATAAAATGTATACTGAAATTTGATACATTTTTGTTTTAAACAAAATCATCGGTTGTACGGAAAAGGTTAATTTTTCGTAATCCTTTGTTCTGACGTTAAATTATTTATAACTTAACTAGGCTGTGTCTAATGAAATAGTTGTCGGCCCGACCACTCTGCATTTGTAACTCAACAAACGCCTTGCCACTTGTTTTAAGTTGAAACTAGCTGTCAGCCTAAAACATTCTGTGCTATATTCTGTGCTAATATGTGCTATGTTCGGCGAAGTTTCAAGTTCGGTTCGGTAGTCCGGCTGCAGCACTACTTTCTGCCTCACTGCTCAGTATAAATGTACATAGAGAAAAACGGGGGATGTTCATTATAGAAAAATTGTTTAGGTGTAGCGGTGATTTATCCGGGCTATTGCACTTGACACTAGTCTCCTTCTCAAGATGCTTCTTACCCCAATGAATGCTCGAATCTGTTGTGTGCTGCACCAGGGAAAACCAAGTAACCACAGCCCATCTGTTTGATGTAACGCAACCTCTGGAACTGCGGAGTGTCGATGATCTGAACGCAGAGTGGATGCAGCTCAATTTGCCCATGGATTGGGTCGTTAAATACCTAATAATGGGGAAAACACAGAAACACAGTAACAGCACATTAAAGGGTCCATGAAATGAATTCTTCTTAGAAACATATCATGCTGAGGCTTTTCGCATGCGTCAAGTCGTCACCAAACGTTGTCTAACCACAACAGGCTGTGCATACATGCACAGCCGCCAAGTTCAACACACAATGTTTTCGGACTTTGTGTGTGTCTACAAAACAACTGGGAGATTAGCGTGTTTAGACGTCATCCAGTGGCGAGTCGAGGCACGCTTGATGTTTTAACCCATTATGTTCGTGCCCATGGGCATCGCTAGGATGGGGCGGGGGGGGGGGGGGCGGGCTTGGAAAAGAAAAAAATAGGAGAAAAAAGAAGAAGGCAAAAAAGGAGAAGACGAGGTGCGTAGTCATATTGCTGTTAATTTAACGCACATTCAACAACATAGGCGTCAGCAGGGGTGTCAATGGGGTGTGGTGGGGTGTTCCCCCCCCCACCCCACCCTCGAAAAATGATATATTGAGAATATGCTAGAGAAGTACAAGGATTTTTTGGAAATAATGTGCTTTGCCCCCTCTAAAAAAATCCTGGCGACGCCGATGGCCGTACTTGTACACATGTACAGACAGCCAGATCGTGTTAACACGTCATCAGACGCGAACTGGTTAAACATTTAAATTTATCCACAGATGCTTTTCCCGATAACTGAGGGTGCTGTTGCTGTAATGTTCAGTACTTTCGGGAAGACACTGTTCAATTTTGGGTTTTTATGTGCAATTGTGAACGCATAATTTTGCTCATTGAAAACATCTAAGAAAAGTTTGCTAATGGGCTTAGTGCCATATATTGACACAAGAATGAATCACCAAAGAATGTACAATTTAGGACAGCGAATTATCCAAAATTCTGCAAAATATTTGTGCTAAAAAAACTTTCACAATAAGGTTTCTGCCCGATATGACATCAAACTTCTGCTCATGAATATGGATATTCGCACAAGCATGAAATAAAAAAAAATCTGCACCTGAAACTTGTGCGATCCCACTGGCATGTTGGCAGTTTTTATACACTCAGTTAGTACGGATACTTCTCAGTGTTCCTAACCAAAATGGAAGATTTCATGAAGTTGTCTTGCATCAAATGGAATACCTTTCATGCAAAGCGAATGACCATGAAAACTACAGATCTCTTTAAGCTTTTTAGTTTATCCTCATAGTTTTCTGCTGGAATGCCTATTTCTTTTTCTATTTTATTTTTCACACCGGCTTCTTGAACTTTGACTCTTTCACTCTGCCTTCATTACTTTGCAATTATTTCGATCAGTTGTCATGTTTAACGTGTACCATCCTACCATTTTATGTCTGATAGCAGACGCTGTGGTTTGTTATCAATTTGTTTATACAACTTTTCATCACGGGTCTCTTGAACTTTGACTCTTTCAGTTTACAAGAGATGTGCAAATGTCGTAAAATTGCATCCACTAAGAAATAAGAAATATTGCTCAAGGCACTGTCTACAATCTCACGAAAAAATGAACACGATACTATATTAAGTTCAAGAGATATAGGTCAAACTATTTTGTCGAATTGTGCCCTTAAATCGCTTGTAATTTGATACCTTATGACGTCATAACGACGCAACAAAATTTATACATCTTCGTAACATGGTACAAGTTCACGCTAGGTTTTATGATCATCCCCGTAAAAAGGAAACCGTTCGGATGAATTTTTTTATTATTTTTTATTTTAGACTACTTTAGACGCGCACCATTGGCGCAATACAAAATATTGTTCGCCATACCCTCTTGACCCCAATATGCCGTGTTTTAGAAAAAACTCCCAATTATAAAAAGCGCCAAATTGGCGCTTTTGCCAGCCCAACTTTTGAATCTCATATGACGTCATCAAAAGTCACAATGTGCTTCCATTAACAAGTTGTCATAATTATAAACGTGAACAAAACACTGGTTAACATCTAAAATGCATTGGTCCATCAAACAGCCATTAATGTGGCTCAATAGTTAACAAGAGGCAAGCACACTGTTTGGCGGGAAATTCCCTTTTGCCCCCCCCCCCCCCAACAAAATAAACCATAAAGAGAATACAAAAGAGAGAGACCGCTTGTATGGAGCGTCAAAAGTGGACAACCGTATTTTCTCATTTTCTGCTTGTGGAATTTTAGGTTTTTCAAAATGGCAACACCGGATTTTAAAAAACTCAATTTTCTACTAGCAAAAATTTGGATTTTACTTTTACGACAATCTGGGTGCCTCAAAAGTGGACAACTAAAAATCTCAAATTCTTACTAGCAAAAAAGTACGGTGCGTCAAAAGTGGACAACTGTATTTTCCAATTTTCTGCTAGTAGAAATTTAATTTTTTGAAATGGCCTCACTGGATTTTAAAAAACTTAATTTTCTGTTAGCAGAAATTTAGATTTTACTTTTAGACAATCTCGGGGTATTTCCCGGTGTGATGCATGATAAGGGTATTTCCAAGTGTGATACATGATAGGGGTATCTCCAAGCGTGATGCATGATAAGGGTATTTCCAAGTGTGATGCATGATGGGTATTTCCAAGTGTGATGCATGATAGGGGCAACCTCGTCCCCAGTGCTTACTTTATTTCCAACGTTGTTTCCAATAGTAAACCATGGATAGGAAACTTCCTTCCTGCATCCTGATTCGATACCGCAATTGGCTAGAAATGGATTTTTATCGTGTACTTGGTGTTGTTATTCACAACGTGCAGTACGTGTTTTCGTGATCATTCGTCCACGCCTTCTCGAAAATATTCATTTCCTTTCCAGTTTGTTAATATTAATATGTAATGTGATAATGCATGTTGTCTCGTTAAGATCGTAACAGTTTAATTAAAATAAAATCATGTTTTCGTAACTCCATGCTCGCGCTGCGACGAATTGATTCTGTTTTTACCCCAGACACCGCATACAAAAACAAACGCAAATGTAACGCACAGGCAGGCACCAGACTACCCCTAATTTGCATACGTGTTCAAAAATCTTGCACATGCAAATAATGATCCAATACCAGGATAAGAGAGCAGGTATAGGTGGGCGCGTACTGCTCGACACCCTGGGGGCGAGGTTGTGATAGCTATTTCCCAGTATGAGAATCGTTCCACATTGCATTGCGTGATAGGGGGATTTCCCAGTGTGAGAAATATTTTTAACTGTAACTGTAGTCTGTATATGTAGTGGGCATTTAGAGGGGCACTGCTAGTCCTGAAATCCCTGAAAACTTAATTTTCTGTTAGCAGAAATTTAGATTTTACTTTTAGACAATCTCGGTGCCTCAAAAGTGGACAAGTAAAAATCTCACATTCTTACATGCAAAAGTTATGATGCTCCAAAAGTGGACAACTGCGTTTTCCCATTTCCTGCTATAGCAGAAATTTTATTTTAAAAGTGATGTCGCCCATTTTAAAAGTGCCATTCTTTTTTTGCAAGCAGAAAATTATGTGGATTTTACTTTGACGCCTCAAAGTGCATAACTAAAAATCACGGAGACACAGCTAGCACCCCTCTGTTCGAAATAAAACATTCCCAAAGATATAGGATCGTTGGGTCTGTTTACTTGAGCGGCTAATTTGACAGTCCTTTGTGTAGCCTACTTATCACCGCCAGTTTCCGACCCAGCTCCAGTTCACGCGTCTCGCATTTCTATTGGGTTACCCATGTACGGTCAGTTCGTTGTTCCATCTTCATATTCCGTTTTGATTGGCCGTTTCTTGTAACCTGAGCGAAAATCTCATTGGATGGCGCGGAAAGAGAGAGGAGAGGCGGTCAGTACTAAGGATAACAGTGTATCAGCCGGTTGTACCGGCTGATATTTTACACACACCACATGAAGTTAGGGTTAACGACTGCGGTGTGAGTAGATAGGCCTATGAGTGATTTATTTTTTTCTCTCGATTTCCCCCCCTTCATGCACGTCGTGTTCCCTAATGTGGCGCACTTCGAAGCTTACCCGACTGCTGCTGGTGCTTAAAATAACGCGACCGAACCCTAGTTTTCCTACGCATGACAAAATCAAACGAAATTTGTTTCATAAAGTTTCTATTGTTACTTTGCTGCTGGTCTACCGACCACACAGTACTGCAGTACTGACCGCCTCTCCTCGCCTTCCCCCCGCCCCCCCCCTCCTCCTAAAAAAAATGAGTAGGGCCTATATAATAAGTGCATGAAGGGGATAAATCGACTCACACCGCAGTCGTTAACCCTAACTTCGTGTGGTGTGTGTAAAATATCAGCCGGTACAACCGGCTGATACACTGTTATCCTTAGGGGTAGGTTTTCAGACTTTTTTTCTATTTTTTTTTCAAAACTCCACTCCCAGTACAGCTAGTCACAAAGGGCATTTAAGTCGAACATGTTTAATATTACGGAAGTAGTGCGATAAACATATTGGGCAATATAAGGATATTTCCCAGTGTGAGATTCTGAGAAATCTTTCACATTGCGTGATAGGGGTATTTCCCAGTGTGAGAAATCTTTCACATTGCGTGATAGGGGTATTTCCCGGTGTGATGCATGATAAGGGTATTTCCAAGTGTGATACATGATAGGGGTATCTCCAAGCGTGATGCATGATAAGGGTATTTCCAAGTGTGATGCATGATGGGTATTTCCAAGTGTGATGCATGATAGGGGCAACCTCGTCCCCAGTGCTTACTTTATTTCCAACGTTGTTTCCAATAGTAAACCATGGATAGGAAACTTCCTTCCTGCATCCTGATTCGATACCGCAATTGGCTAGAAATGGATTTTTATCGTGTACTTGGTGTTGTTATTCACAACGTGCAGTACGTGTTTTCGTGATCATTCGTCCACGCCTTCTCGAAAATATTCATTTCCTTTCCAGTTTGTTAATATTAATATGTAATGTGATAATGCATGTTGTCTCGTTAAGATCGTAACAGTTTAATTAAAATAAAATCATGTTTTCGTAACTCCATGCTCGCGCTGCGACGAATTGATTCTGTTTTTACCCCAGACACCGCATACAAAAACAAACGCAAATGTAACGCACAGGCAGGCACCAGACTACCCCTAATTTGCATACGTGTTCAAAAATCTTGCACATGCAAATAATGATCCAATACCAGGATGAGAGAGCAGGTATAGGTGGGCGCGTACTGCTCGACACCCTGGGGGCGAGGTTGTGATAGCTATTTCCCAGTATGAGAATCGTTCCACATTGCATTGCGTGATAGGGGGATTTCCCAGTGTGAGAAATATTTTTAACTGTAACTGTAGTCTGTATATGTAGTGGGCATTTAGAGGGGCACTGCTAGTCCTGAAATCCCTGAAAACTTAATTTTCTGTTAGCAGAAATTTAAATTTTACTTTTAGACAATCTCGGTGCCTCAAAAGTGGACAAGTAAAAATCTCACATTCTTACATGCAAAAGTTATGATGCTCCAAAAGTGGACAACTGCGTTTTCCCATTTCCTGCTATAGCAGAAATTTTATTTTAAAAGTGATGTCGCCCATTTTAAAAGTGCCATTCTTTTTTTGCAAGCAGAAAATTATGTGGATTTTACTTTGACGCCTCAAAGTGCATAACTAAAAATCACGGAGACACAGCTAGCACCCCTCTGTTCGAAATAAAACATTCCCAAAGATATAGGATCGTTGGGTCTGTTTACTTGAGCGGCTAATTTGACAGTCCTTTGTGTAGCCTACTTATCACCGCCAGTTTCCGACCCAGCTCCAGTTCACGCGTCTCGCATTTCTATTGGGTTACCCATGTACGGTCAGTTCGTTGTTCCATCTTCATATTCCGTTTTGATTGGCCGTTTCTTGTAACCTGAGCGAAAATCTCATTGGATGGCGCGGAAAGAGAGAGGAGAGGCGGTCAGTACTAAGGATAACAGTGTATCAGCCGGTTGTACCGGCTGATATTTTACACACACCACATGAAGTTAGGGTTAACGACTGCGGTGTGAGTAGATAGGCCTATGAGTGATTTATTTTTTTCTCTCGATTTCCCCCCCTTCATGCACGTCGTGTTCCCTAATGTGGCGCACTTCGAAGCTTACCCGACTGCTGCTGGTGCTTAAAATAACGCGACCGAACCCTAGTTTTCCTACGCATGACAAAATCAAACGAAATTTGTTTCATAAAGTTTCTATTGTTACTTTGCTGCTGGTCTACCGACCACACAGTACTGCAGTACTGACCGCCTCTCCTCGCCTTCCCCCCGCCCCCCCCCCCTCCTCCTAAAAAAAATGAGTAGGGCCTATATAATAAGTGCATGAAGGGGGAAATCGACTCACACCGCAGTCGTTAACCCTAACTTCGTGTGGTGTGTGTAAAATATCAGCCGGTACAACCGGCTGATACACTGTTATCCTTAGGGGTAGGTTTTCAGACTATTTTGCTGTTTTTTTTTCAAAACTCCACTCCCAGTAGAGCTAGTCACAAAGGGCATTTAAGTCGAACATGTTTAATATTACGGAAGTAGTGCGATAAACATATTGGGCAATATAAGGATATTTCCCAGTGTGAGATTCTGAGAAATCTTTCACATTGCGTGATAGGGGTATTTCCCAGTGTGAGAAATCTTTCACATTAGGTGATAGGGGTATTTCCCGGTGTGATGCATGATAAGGGTATTTCCAAGTGTGATACATGATAGGGGTATCTCCAAGCGTGATGCATGATAAGGGTATTTCCAAGTGTGATGCATGATGGGTATTTCCAAGTGTGATGCATGATAGGGGCAACCTCGTCCCCAGTGCTTACTTTATTTCCAACGTTGTTTCCAATAGTAAACCATGGATAGGAAACTTCCTTCCTGCATCCTGATTCGATACCGCAATTGGCTAGAAATGGATTTATATCGTGTACTTGGTGTTGTTATTCACAACGTGCAGTACGTGTTTTCGTGATCATTCGTCCACGCCTTCTCGAAAATATTCATTTCCTTTCCAGTTTGTTAATATTAATATGAAATGTGATAATGCATGTTGTCTCGTTAAGATCGTAACAGTTTAATTAAAATAAAATCATGTTTTCGTAACTCCATGCTCGCGCTGCGACGAATTGATTCTGTTTTTACCCCAGACACCGCATACAAAAACAAACGCAAATGTAACGCACAGGCAGGCACCAGACTACCCCTAATTTGCATACGTGTTCAAAAATCTTGCACATGCAAATAATGATCCAATACCAGGATGAGAGAGCAGGTATAGGTGGGCGCGTACTGCTCGACACCCTGGGGGCGAGGTTGTGATAGCTATTTCCCAGTATGAGAATCGTTCCACATTGCATTGCGTGATAGGGGGATTTCCCAGTGTGAGAAATATTTTTAACTGTAACTGTAGTCTGTATATGTAGTGGGCATTTAGAGGGGCACTGCTAGTCCTGAAATCCCTGAAAAGTGGCATCTTTTGAATTGTTTACTTGTCCTTTTTCAAACATCTGGTTGAAAGGAAACTAACCTAATGTCTTACCGCTCCTGAGAAAAGACAAAAAAAACACCTTGTCGTTTACATCAGACACGACAGAGTACACATACGTTTTTCCTGTCGTTTTAATTCAATGTACGGTACATTGTGTGTGTCACATAATTACACACAGCACCAATGCACGTGTGGTTTCTTAGGGGTCCGCTCATAAGTCCGACGCCTCATAGGTCCGACGCCTCATTTAAGTCCGACAAAATCGCATCCCCTAACCAAAAATAAAGGTCCATAAGTCCGACGCCTCATAGGTCCAGCGCCTCATAAGTCCGACGCCTCATAGCTAGCTCCGACGCCTCGTAGGTCCGACAAATGAAACGCCTCGTTTTTCCGACGTCGGACTCATGAGGCGTCGGACCTATGAGGCGGAATAAATAAATTGTATGCCTCATAAGTCCGACGCCTCATAAGTCCGAAATTTCGGAATGAGGCGTCGGACCTATGAGGCGTCGTCTTATGACACGGCCCCGTTTCCTTACATGTCCGGAAAAGGCGAACACTTTCAGAACACAACAGAGAATAAACCAAACCGTTTTATAGCTCCACAGCTAAATGGACCAGGCATATATGGGATCATTTGCGTGTATCATCACAAGAGTAATCTTGAGTAAAGATCTGGTACTTAACAATAAACCTGCAAATTTATGCCATCTGGTTTGCTGTTACAGAAAATCAAGAATATTAGATTGACTGATCGTTGAAATAAAAAACGCTATTGACGGAGTCAAGTTTTGTGATAAAAAAGGTTATGCATGTTTTTTTTTTATTGTTTTCTCAAAAAAAGTGTAATATCGACTGAGCTAAAACTTCAACGGGTTTGGTTTTGAACGTTCAGTCCTCTTTGGATTGTGAGTAGAATTCCAACTGGAAAGGAACAAAATGCATGAAAAACGAAAAACGTCCTATATGCCTTTAAATCAATCACAACCCAATGAATAGCTAGCACAGCATGAAAAGGCACATGTAAAGCAAGGCAAAGAAAAGCACAGAATGAAATATAAGTACAACTTCAATATAATGAACATAGTGGAGTGCTAAATAATAGACATTTTCAGCAGCCATTTTGTGGTACACAAATTCATGTTTCTTTCTTTGCAAAGTTCTACTGTATATACCCAACGGGAGAGAGTCCTCCACAGGCAAGCAAAACAATAACATACAAGTAATCATACCAGATTCATAATGCATTAACAAACCTTTAGGGAATCTACATGGACTTTGGTCCTGGCGTCGTCACAAGGTTTCTTCAGATTCTGGAAGCCTTGGAGTAACTCTAATGCAAACAAAATAGATAAAGATCCACAGTGTACAAAACATGGGCCAGTCCTCACGGATATCTCAAATCATTCACGAAAGTGGTATGCAACAAATTGTGGCATTTGACAGACAATAAAACCAAACAACTAATATGTTTTTCTCCATCTCCCTCAACATCAAGACTGTTCACATTTCATCAAAGGCGGTGTTGGCGGATCCAGAACACAATTTTTTTTTTTGGGGGGGGGGCCAACAAAATTCTTGGTCTCCCAAAAAGTGGGTCCAAAAATTACGGTGTGGAAATTTGTTTTGGATTCTAGATGCTATGTGGTGCGATCTGAGGCAATTTCTGATCACTTTAACCAATGTTTTTTTAGGAAAAGATGGTAGTGTACTCATTGCCTGCCTTTATTGCGACGTTACGTAAAAAAACTTGGATTCGTGGTTTTTTTTGGGGGGGGGGGCATGGCCCCCTTTGCGCCCCCCCCCCCCCCCTCCCTGGATCCGCCCTTGCATTTCATCATCGGCACCACGAACCGACACTCACGCGCTAGTGGGTGTCAGTTCATGAAACCACTTAAGGCCAAAAAAAAAGTCTCCGGTTTCTGGTATGCGCGCATAAGGTTGGTTTCCTTTCAAACAGATGTTTGAAATAGGCCAAGTAAACAATCCAAAACATGACACTTTTGGGGATTTCAGGACCTAGTGCCCCTTTGATTGACAAAAGAGTTACTTTTTTCTTACATCACACCAATCATGCGTAGCAATTCTACCGTCAGCCTGTCAAGAACTTTGCCAGATATTTTTTGCTCTATTCATAAATCAAAGATTTCAATCTCTCAGGTTACTAGCCTTAAGCCTAATATCTGTCGTTTTGTTATAGATGCAGCATACCTACACATTCTTCACACAATTATATTTTAGCTTAACTTGCAAAGGGCAGGTTGTGGTCAGAAGCATTGGCATTTTTTATTGTGTTCAAGTTGATTTATTGATTTATTGATTTATTATTAATTAATTAATTTATTTGTTTATCTTATTTTTTTTTTGGAGGGCGGTGTTTATAGTTTTTTTTCATTATTAAGACTGGGCAATCTATGACAGACCAGAGAGTCAAAAGAATTATCATATTGCAGCCATTTGATTTTTTTTCTCTTTCGAATCAATGTTACCAAAGCGAGGCTGGAAGGAAAATTAGTCTGGTTCCTTTTGCAGAAAAACATTAACATTCAGGAATGTTATTGGATACAGGGAACATGCCTGAAATGGTGGCAGCATGATAAAGGTCTATAGAGTTATCTATGAAGGTTAGTTCACCATGAAACTACTGTACTAGTGTACATGAGCTTGACTCTTACTGAGCTAATGCATGTAGCACCCACAACTTAATTAGTCATGGTAGAGGTTCATGACAGTTGAGAAGTTGGGTTTTTTAACAGCTTGTTAGACCATTGTATGCAAACACACGTAAATGTTTCTGGTAAAATCAAAACAATTAATTTATTGAATACATGCTTCTACCTTACCTTTAAACGACTGTGCCTCATCAGGAGTAAACCTTCTATTAGATTTTAGATAATTGTCGAGGCTGTCCGGTGTCCAGTTTTCCAGGTCAGCAAATACTTGGCTGGTCGAATCGTCCTGTGACGACACACTCTCATCTGTTTTCTGGCGTTTGGCACGCTGCTGGGCAGACATTTTGGGGTGGGCAGCTTTATTCTCACCAGAAACAATGAAGTGGGAAATCTCTAGTATCTTGGCAGCTATATCATACTCCTGCCAAGCATGGAGTTGAAAACTGTGATGTGCTGTGGCTCAACAAAGGTCAATGCAAAGCCAATGCCTAGTACGCCTGTCGTATCTGATTGGTTGGTCGTTGATCACAGCTCACATGATCACTGGTCCCACTGCAGGCCCAAGGCCCACCTATACACCCCACAATAGAGTTCCAAACCACTGCACAACCAGGAAGTTCAATTGCAAGGTCACAATTGGTGTTCAGGCATATTATGAATCTGCTGCTAAATTATTTCTCATTCAGGGCCAGTAACCTAACATGGTGGCAGCAGTGGTTGATACAGTATAAAATAACCGTCATTTTGCATTCCACTTTTCGCATGAAAAAGTGACATTTACGCTACAACTTTCGAACGAATTGTTGTGAGTTTCACGGGAACACGTAGACATCGCAATGACGCAGTCTACATCGTTGGGGGCGGTATCCAGCGCTCCGTTAATTGGCCGTCTCGACCAGTACGACCAAGTTGAAGACATTCGCAACTACATCGAGCGTCTTAACCTCTATTTTGTTGCAAATGACATCCCTGCGGCGAAACAATCGGCAGTTCTGTTGAGTGCAGTTGGTGCTACTGTCTACAAGACTGTAAAAAGCTTAGCTGAACCAACTGCAGTGTCTGCAAAGAGCTTCAAAGAACTCTGTGATATGCTTGTACAGTCAATTGACCGGTTCCGCAATTTGACCAGTTCCGCAATTTCGGAAAACTAGCTCTCGTTTTCAGGAAGACGAAAACGCCAAGGACTTAAACTTTGGTACCGATGGAAAGGTTATTCAATCTACTTTTCAAAAATGGTTTTAGTTTTAGGATACTCACTTGCATTTAAAAATAAATCCCCTACGACCGTCACTTGCCGTTAACGAACTGCCGAAATGGAACGCGCACGGAAGCGTGATTTCATGTTTGTCGGCCTGCTAGTGCTACACGATTGTTCAGGGGAATTAAATCATGGCCATAGAGTCAACTTGTTCGGAAATTATTCATTATTCCACCATACAAATATAAGATTTGAAGTCTTTGAATTTGTTTTTCTATACCCACCAGAGTAACTGCTGGTCGTTTGGCCGGTTCCGCAAACGCATTCATACTGCCTATACAATACACTGGCCATGGTGTGACTGTATTAACCAGTGCTGCTATTGATGACAAGTATTGTTGATGGCGGCCCCCCAGCGCGGCGCACATTATTTATTTTGGCATGAATCTTCTTTTTTTTTTTTACAACTTACAAGTTACAAAGAAATTGATAATTTCTATTAACCCTTGTTTAAAAATGTCGAATTTGATGATCATTTCTGGGTGTTCAGTGCAAAATTGAAAACGAAATTGAAACAAGATGATTTTGTTTCTGTCCAGCTTCCGGACAGCACTGTAGGTTTTGGATAAAAAAAATGTGGACTTCAAAATTTAAAATACAAAAATCTTTCTATAGTGAGCAAAATTCCCACTAAACATTTTTCCTTTGCTCTAAAAAAATTCACCCCATACTTGGTGTTGAAGCGGTTGTGCCCCAGGGGTTTGGATTCATTTTAGAGTTACAACTCTCCACATCCAGGGTGCATGAGTCAGCCCAGGCTAGGAGGTGAGGTTTGTGGGGAACAATTAAAAATAGTGCATAATAATATGGAAAATAAAACGCAGGTGTGTTTCTAACCCAAAGGACATTTCCAGTAATTTAGTAAATATAAAATTATCCTTTTTCGGTGGGTCCTAACCTTACTCTTTACCCTTTAAAACAAAAAGAAAAATAGGTCAACTAATATTTCATAATGAAGACCAGTCTCTCGTCAGTACAGAGACACAAATTTTGATTGTTTTCTTGGAGCACAAAATTTGTCAAATACTCTAAACCATTTCTCATTTTTGTCTCAACTTGGTCATAAACTAAATGATTTATATAAAATTTCTGTTTCATACAGACAATGCCAAAGACAAAGAAGATAGGACATAAGAGGCCATCAGCACATCTTTTTCAGTTTTACCTGTGAAGGTCAAGAAGAAGTTGAATATTATAGTGAAAGTACATGTAGCTGTGTGTCTTCATCACCATTCCTTTGAATTAATTTATTTATGTGACAAGTTCTTTTTTTTTGTATAGTGCTAGCTTCTGGACTCTGGAGTGCTTAAATTATTTGTGTATAACAATTAAACAGACATGCAGGTGCCATAAAGGCAATAAATTTAAAGGCATTACATACATTTTTATTAACCAGTACATGTTAAAGAGAAGTGAGGTGTTTTAAAAACTATGCTACTTTGCATGAAAAACCTACAGAACATGTCTATTTCTGTGATTCATCACCATTTATTTATATGACAGGTATAATTTTGGATTTAAAAGGGGTAGCTTCTTGAGTGCTTTAGTTTTGTATTACATTTACATTTTACACATGCTGGTATCACATGTCAATATATTGAAAGGGTTATCGGTATGTACGTGATGAATGTGTTGACATTTTCTTTTAAGAGCATCACCGAACGGTAGATGAGGTTTGCTAATACAGTTGCCCAAGCATGGTACACGTACAAAGTTAATATGTGCAACAAGGTATGAGGAGTAACTGAACCCTCTCTTTAACTTTCCAACGACATTATAATTAGAAATTGCCATTGCTATGAAACAGCCATAGGATTTATGACATTTTTAACAATTTGTTTTAATTTGTTTGTGAAATTTAATTTGAATGTGAAACAATATGTATGTGGCCTGTATGTATCTGGCCTGCTGAGGCCTGTTCCCCCTCCCCTCCCGGCCCCCAGGTTCCCCCTACTGGATGTTGGTGCACACAAAATTAAGCATATTGTGTTTTTACCCTGAACAAATTGAAACACTCCCCCCCCCAAAAAAAAAAAAGTAAAATGAAAAAAAAGGGTGAGGGAATAAACAAAAGTAAATAAATAATAATAATTAAATAAACAAATAATATTAATAAACAGTGCTCCCCTGCAGACAATGATTCAGTTCCAATTCATCCAGCCATGCAGTCACTTCCTTAAGTGTCATAGGAATTAAAATGATCCTGGAGAAAATATTAATTCAAATTCATAAATAGCTGGTCTGTGCTTATGTGAGAAAAAAACAACCAACTGGAGCAATTCGGTACAAGGTTTGTGTCTGGTTCTATCCAAAGTCAGAGTGTGTCTAAATAAGAATAAGACAACAAAAAAGAAAAATATTAGTGATTGCAAGATGATTGACAGAATGCACAAAAAGCTAGAAAGTCATTTAATTGGATTATTATGATTATTATTCTATCATTTCTGGTAATGAAACCAAGGATTTCTCAAAAGTGCCCTTGGCATTGTAGCTCGCAAGCCTGAAGAAACCTGTGGAGAGAAGACAATGAGAAGAAATTACAGATTGAAGCAAGTCAAATAATTATATTAACGAAAACAAAGATCCAACGAACCATAACAACTTCATGGAGTTACATTTTGTAAATTTGGACGCATTATAATGTGCAGACCTTGGCTCATTCACAGGGAAATATAATCCACATCTTTTCTTGGCTGATTTGGGGGCAAAAAACGATCTAAATTTGGCCAGTAAACAAGGAATATTTTCAGTCCAGTCTCACAGAGGGCGCCGTTTGCGAAACCGGAAAACATTTGCGGAACCGGTCAAAGCACCGACCTCTACAAAATGTCCTGGCAAATTTCTCTTTCAAACGATCGCAGAAAACTATTCATATCATGAAGTAGGTGAGTAATTTGCGCATATTTATAGATAGGTAGCTTCCTGTGAAAGCGCGTTTTTTCGCCACAAGACGCTTCAGACGATTTGCGATTGCGGAACCGGTCAAACGACTGTATCACACTACGGCCCAAAGCGTCTAGTTGTAGCAGAGCGTTTCCGATTTTACAAACGCGAACAACAAATGGATGAGTCCATCGCTCAGTATGCTGTTGCACTACGCGATCTTGCCAGCCCCTGCCAGTTTGGGACATTTCTCGATGACGCCTTGCGTGATCGCCTGATCTGTGGCCTCCGAAGTGAGTATGTTCAGAAACATCTTCTGGCTAAGGATAGCCTCACTTTCCAGAAAAGCCCTGGATGTTGCAAAAACTCTAGAGACAGCCACCAAAGATCTCCGTGAAATTAAAGGAGCACACAATACAGCTGCTGTTCACGCGATGCACCCCAAACCTCGACAGAAGATGCCCCACAATCGATCGACCAAACCCAACACCCACCAGGCCAGGTGTCCCAATTGCGGATACGACCCAAGTCATGCTACATGCCCTGCTAGAGGCCAGAAGTGCAAGTCCTGTCACAAAACTGGACATTTTAGCCGGGTTTGCCGATCCAAACCTAAACACACGCGAGCTGTGATGGCACCGACTTCATCTGACGATGAGACTGAGTTCTTTGTAGGCTCCGTATCCAGTAAAAGTGCCCCATCACACACTTCCTGGCGCCAGACCATCCTTGTTGAGAAAAAGCCCATCAACTTCTTGCTTGACACTGGGTCCGAGGTAAACATACTGCCACTACATGTTTACCACACCCTGAAGCTCCACAACCCGACCCTGCAGTCTACGACTACAACCCGTCTGTGCGGTTTCTTCGGCGGAAAAGTCCAGCCAAGAGGACAGAAACGCCTATCATGTGAAGTCAAGGGCAAGTACCATATCCTGACTTTTCTTATCATTGGTGATGGTGAGCCAGTTCTGGGAAAACATGCCTGTGTTTCCCTTAACCTGGTGCAGCGTGTGTACACCATGATAAATGATGATGATGTTTATGAGGGAACCGGATGCCTAAAAGGCCCACCAGTCAAGATAAAGCTGACAGAAAACGCTACACCGCACTGTGTCCATGCCCCTCGTCGAATCCCACTGCCCTTGCACCCCCAACTCAAGGCAGAGCTAGACAAAATGGAGAAACAAGGAATCGTCACGCGCATCACAGAACCAACTGATTCGTGCGCCCCGATCGTGATCGCTCCAAAGAAAAATGGAAACATCAGAGTCTGTGTTGACCTACGAATGCTGAACAAAGCCGTGGCCAGGGAGCAGTTTAGCATACCTACCTTGGAAGAGGTCCTGGGTAAAATTGCCGGTGCCCAGTTATTTTCTGTCCTCGATGCCAAGCATGGGTTTTGGCAAATTCCGCTCCACCCTGACAGCCAGAAGTTAACCACATTCATCACACCATTTGGTAGATTCTGCTTCAATCGCCTGCCATTTGGCATCACATCGGCACCTGAGCTGTACCAGAGAATCATGAGTGATCTGCTGGTCAATCTATCAGGAGTTGTCGTCTACATGGATGATGTTCTTGTCACGGGTGCGACACCAGAGGAACATGACGCACGTCTCCGTCATGTACTGCAAATTCTACAAGGAGCTGGGCTGAAGCTTAATAAGGACAAGTGCAAAATTGCGCAAGAGCAGGTGCACTTCCTTGGCCATCGTCTCGATAAGCATGGAATTCACCCTGATCCTGCTAAACTTGATGCAATCCTCCAGATGTTGCCACCTACGACGAAGGAGGAAGTCAAACGACTGATGGGGATGGTGAATTGGCTATCTCGTTTCATACCCCATGCAGCTACAGTGGCAGCACCGATTAATGCTCTGATGAAAGGCGACACAGAGTGGACTTGGGGTCCAGCACAACGCAGTGCTTTCAGACACCTCAAGACACTGCTAACTACAGCCCCGACGCTTGCATACTATGACCCAACAAAGCCAACGATGGTCAGTGCTGATGCCAGCAGTTACGGCATTGGTGGTTACATCCTTCAGAAGCAGGAAGATGAGTCCTGGAGACCAGTAGCATATTGTTCCCGAAGCCTGACACGTGCTGAACAACGATATGCACAGATCGAGAAGGAGCTACTGGCTGCTGTATGGTCATGTGAGCGTTTCTTCATCTATCTCCGCGGTCTTCGAGTGACGCTCCAGACAGACCACAAACCCCTAGTGTCCCTAATCAACAAAAAGGACTTATGTGATGCCCCTCTCCGATGCCAACGACTGCTGATGAGGCTGATGAGATACAACTGCGAAGCAGAGTACACCCCTGGTAAGGACCTGGTTGTGGCCGATGCACTTTCGCGAGCTCCTCTCCAGCGAGATAAAGTGGCCGAACCAGATGAAGATCTTGAAGGCGAGATCGAAGCACATGTCCACTTGATCACAACCCAGTGGCCAGCATCTGATGCAAAGCTGGTCGAAATAGCCTTAGAGACCAGTCACGACCGTACCCTGAGTGCAGTCATCACTCACGTCAAAGATGGATGGCCTAAGTACCAGAAGGATGTCGACCCAGAGTTGAAACGGTTCTGGGATGACCAAGACAAGATCAGCCTAGTCGGTGGTATCCTCACATATGGTGACCGCATTGTGATTCCACAGAGCCTGAGACAACAAATGTTGCAGAGAATCCATGAGGGTCATCAAGGCGTCTCAAAAAGCCGACTTCGAGCCAATCAAGCCTTGTGGTGGCCTGGTATGAGCACTGACATAGCCCAGTATGTCCAGTCTTGCCCGCATTGCCAGGATATGCAACCATCGCAACGCGCCGAACCACTCATGTCCACACCACATGGCAGCAAATTGCCTGCGACCTAGCCGAGGTGAAGGGGAAGATGTACCTTGTGCTGGTAGACTACTATTCCCGATGGATAGAGCTACATCACCTCCACTCGACAACAGCCAAATCTGTGATAAACTTCATCAAGGCAACATTTGCTAGATATGGTATTCCCGAAGTGGTGGTGACTGACAATGGTCCACAGTTTTTGGGTGAATTTGACCAATTCGCTCGTGGGTACAACTTCCAACACATCACCTCCAGTCCCTATTACCCACAGGCCAACAGACAAGCAGAGAAAGCTGTACACATTGCCAAGAGACTGTTAAGCCAAGACGATCCAGTCCGCGCCTTGATGCTGTACCGGTCCACTCCTCTGCCTAGCCTTGGCCAGAGTCCAGCCAGTCTCCTAATGGGAAGGGAGATTCGCACCACACTTCCAATCCTGCCTCGTAATCTGCAGCCTAAGAAGGTAGATCACAACAAGCTGAAGGCTACAGACAACATGAACAAACAGAAAAGCGGACAAACCTTCAACAAGCGACACGGTGCAAGACAGCTGGATGATTTGATGCCTGGAGACAAGGTTAAGATCCGAACCAAAGGACAGCTGAGCCCAGAAGGTGAAGTTGTACGTCAGGCTGGGACTCCACTGTCCTACATCATCAACATCAACGGCACTGAGTACCGTCGAAACAGACGTCATATCTTTCTTCTTCCCAAACCATCCCTGGATCCAGTTCTTGACATCCAAACATCATGCAAGGAGACCAAGGATCCTCAACCAGCTGAATCTCGACCCACTCGAGTTACCCGTCCACCAGTTTGGCACAAGGACTACATTGGTCTCAAAACTAGACCAGTCACACACTTAATCAAAAGAGAACAAACTAGCATTTAGATAAGCACCAAATGAATCAGAATCAACACTGAGACGCGAAATTACAGTAATCAACTTTTATTGGACATAGAACTGTAACGTGTTAGATCTGCAAGAAACCTCATCTCATCTGAACATTAAGCTGAACACTAGCAACTTTATTTTAGTCACAGAGACTCTCAAATCTCTCAACTCAAGGATTTGAACTTTTCAATTGATTCCAGTTCTTGGAATTTATATTCACATTGTTGTTTATTAACCAGTTTGTTTCTTTTAGAAAAAAGGGGAGATGTTATAACAGGCCTTCGGACTGTACGTTCCATGACATGAACTGTACGTTCTGTAAGTACACGCACTCATGAATAAAAGATGTGCAAACATGGTGGCCCGCATGGTGAACCCCAAATGGTGAGTCTCTGCAATCTTGTCAATTCTTATCAACCTTAAACCAGTAACCTAACAACAACATTAATGATACAGCCAGTTGCATTTTGGGGGCAGGGTATCTAATTTTGATTAATAGCGAATTTAGCTTTACGTGTGCTGTGCCTAGACCAGTTGTGTTTTTAGCAGTTACATAATGAAATCGGCCAACATAGGCACTTCAAATTTGGGCCCTGGAAAGACAGAGTACTTCCTATCTGAAGTACAGCTGCAGATTTTTGGCCAAAGATTTGTAGTTTAATAAAAATTATGTCCTCCGGAGTTGTTACATCAATTTTAGCACTGTGAAAATATTTTTTTTTTGTCTTTAGTGATTAAATTTGTTGTCGTCAGCACATTTGCAGTAAGCCAATGAGCAAACTTTTCAAACAGATATTTTAAATGAGCAGATTTTTGGGTTCACATGTGCACAGAAAACTCCTAAACTTTACTACTGAGCAGTACTGTCTTCCTGAAACGACATCAAAGCAACAGCGCCCACAGTTGTCCAGGAAAGCATGGACAATTTTGAATGTTTGAAGAAGTGCACTTTTGAATAAAATTAACCAAAAAGGGTAGTTTTCATACACGGTGGGTCAAAAAAGCGGAACCCAAACCCCCAAAATTATATTTCATTTTTTAACTTGAAAAAATGTGTAGCACCAAAACTAATGACTGGAAAGGCAATTTCATATGCTACTTTTAGATGAAAAAAATCCTGAAATTACTTGATCCGTTCAAAGAATATTACCATTTAAACATGAAACTTCTTTCGTCCAAAAAGGCGATTTCAAGAATCGTCATCACAATTGTCTTTAAACATCAGTAGTGATAATACCGCAATTAAACATACTCAACAAAGTCCTTTTGAAGGCCCGTCTTTTACAAAAAAATTCATTAATTATATTGTATTTGCCTAACCAGGGTTGTTAATAAAGATGTTATTGTGTATAGGCTACTACAGTTGTTGACAGTTGTTGTTTCAATTGAAACAAGTATTCTGTGTCATTCTCTTTGTTGTTCCAAACAGTCAGAATACACAATAAATTGCCTTTTTTGGACGAAACAGGTTTAGGGTCATTGCGTTTGAATGGTGATGTTCTTTGAACGGATTGAGCAATTTCAGTATTTTTTTTCATCTACAAGTAGCTGATTAAATTGGCTTTCCGGTCATTATTATTAGTGGTGCTACATATTTTTTTTTAAAATGTGAAATACATTTTTGGAGGTTTGGGTTCCGGGTTTTTTTTGGACTCACCATGTTCATTTAAGAAAAGTAAAAGGTTGCACAAAATGTGTTCCTCAGAAAAATTCATTTCATGGACACTGTTCTATGGTCAAATGAGAAAGTTCTGTGAAACAAAACCAACTAAACGTACACGTTCTAAATAAAAACGGTTTGTATTTACCCTAACTACACTTTCCAAATAGAACCAAAATTGTATTTCCGAACGTGTAGTAGATGTTTTTTTAAAATACGAGGATGAGTTCCTTTGTTCTCTTTGAAGCAAGTTAAAAGTGTTGCTCTGCAAAAGGGTTGGATTCAAACTACAAAGTTTATTTGCATCACTAAAATTTACTACTAAATCTACCTTCTAGTTTTAAATCACCAAAATTTTAATTCCAGCAGTGATTAGATAAATTCAGTACAATTATTATAATTAATAACTTAAGCTGAAATAATTTTTTAATATTAAAACAAGAAAATGTCCTGGTTTCTGAGAAAACTTGTTTAACAAAATTTCAAAAAAATATTAAAACAAATATTGAAAATCATTTTTTGAGGCCTGATTTTCATAAAACTGACAATTCTTTTCTCAGTTTTGTTTGTTTAGTAATAATTTTGGGAATAAGGCACTTTTTTCAGACAAATAGTATTGAAAATGAATTATATACCGGGAAAGGGAGAAGTTGGGTATGAAAAGCCCAATTTCCATGTGACTAAGCCTTGGAATTTGCACACAAAAAATCTCAGAAAAAAACAACAACATAATTTTCAACCCCTCCTGGAATGTTTTGAATTTCATTTAAATATTTCAGCAAACCAAACTTAGCTGGTAACCCCACCGTAACCAAAAAAACTGAGTGGTACAAACAATCAGTATAGGCCTTTAACCATTTAACCACTAAATATTTCAGCAAACCAAACTTAGCTGGTAACCCCACCGTAACAAAAAAAACTGAGTAGTACAATCAATCAGTATAGGCCTTTAACCATTTAACCACTAAATATTTCAGCAAACCAAACTTAGCTGGTAACCCCACCGTAACAATGAGTAGTACAATCAATCAGCATAGGCCTTTAACCATTTAACCACTAAATATTTCAGCAAACCAAACTTAGCTGGTAACCCCACCGTAACAAAAAAAAACTGAGTAGTACAATCAATCAGTATAGGCCTTTAACCATTTAACCACTAAATATTTCAGCGAACCAAACTTAGCTGGTAACCCCACCGTAACAAAAAAAACTGAGTAGTACAATCAATCAGTATAGGCCTTTAACCATTTAACCACTAAATATTTCAGCAAACCAAACTTAGCTGGTAACCCCACCGTAACAAAAACATCTGAGTAGTACAATCAATCAGTATAGGCCTTTAACCATTTAACCACTAAATATTTCAGCAAACCAAACTTAGCTGGTAACCCCACCGTAACAAAAAAAACTGAGTAGTACAATCAATCAGTATAGGCCTTTAATCATTTAACCACTAAATATTATAGCAAACCAAACTTAGCTTGTAACCCCACCGTAACAAAAAAACTGAGTAGTACAATCAATCTTGAGACACCCCAAAGGAATGACGGTGTCTAAATGTTAAACCTACGTAATTACCAGGAATGGTATTTACGGGAGTTACATTAAAGTACAGGGTGGTTAAAAAAAGGACACCCACTTTTGACAGCAATTATCACCTACCTAATGGACTTACTATAAGTATAGGCCTTTAACCATGCATGGTGAAAAAAAGCTTAGTAAGGCCAAAAAAAAAAATACTCGGTCTCTGGTCAGACCAAAGTTCCGGAATTGATGCGGCGACAAGCTTTTTTTTTCAAGCTTGGATTGAACAGACATGGTGGGGTACTAATTTGCTTTTTTTTGGTGTCCTCCATGATTTGCCTTGGTGCCCTCGATCATTTGCCTTGGTGCAATTTCCCATTCCTTGTTACTCTTTGGTAAAAAAAAAAAGGGAGGAGGTGCGGCAATAGAGGGCGCTGTTGGAGCTACCATGAAAATTCATTTCATGGACACTGTTCTATGGTCAAATGAGAAAGTTATGTGAAACAAAACCAACTGAACGTACACGTTCTAAATAAAAACGGTTTGTATTTACCCTAACTACACTTTCCAAATAGAACCAAAATTGTATTTCCGAACGTGTAGTAGATGTTTTTTTAAAATACTAGGATGAGTTCCTTTGTTCTCTTTGAAGCAAGTTAAAAGTGTTGCTCTGCAAAAAGGTTAGATTCAAACTACAAAGTTTATTTGCATCACTAAAATTTACTACTAAATCTACCTTCTAGTTTTAAATCACTAAAATTTTAATTCCAGCAGTGATTAGATAAATTCAGTACAATTACTATAATTAATAAAAAGCTGAAATAATTTTTTAATATTAAAACAAGAAAAGGTCCTGGTTTCTGAGAAAAGTTGTTTAACAAAATGTATTTGCATCACTAAAAAATTTATTTGCATCACTAATATTGGTTGTGTATTAAATATAAAAAAAACAGAGCTGCTTTTGGGTAACATAGACAAACTTATTTTGTTTATTTACCGTCCTCTACATCATCTATCTAATCTAACTGTCTAACTCTATCTAACAATAATTCCAGGAACCTCTGTATATCTGTGTATGTATTTCGATTATGTCGAGAACTGGGCACTGTATGAAGTTGAAATTGGCAGGTGTATTGCTCAGGGCTCCAGAATGTGCAGTGTCAAGTTTGAAATTGTTTAGATGAGCAGTTAGGCCTAATTCTCAAAGAAGCTGCAACACAGCTGCATTTTTTTGGGGACCTGACCATACAAACGTGTATATAGAGACTGCGCCGAGTACTGCTGCAAATTTTGAACAGGCACTGCACTCTATACCGCACCATATGTACAGGTTAGCACATGGGCAAATCGCTGTATGAGCTCAGATCACACAACAATGAGGTGGACCTCGACCATTTTTTTGAAGAGGAGGGTAGATATGGCCCACTGTTATACGAGGACTGCACTCTATACTGCCACATATGCGGGTCTACCGGAGGCTAAGCAGTTTCCAACTGGCACTGCACTGGTCGTCATAAACTACATAAAGGTGTTGTGTATTTTCACCAGGCAAGAAAGTTTAGAAATGTCATTGATTTCTTCATCTTAACCGTATCGAAAGGGCAATGACAACTGTAAAAGGACTGTACATGTAGTTAAAGTCATTATAAGTACCAACTAACTTGTTCATAGAGACATCTACACCATAAAACACTCAACATGCAGACTTGACTTGAACAAACATATATATCACTTTAATTGCTTTCACAGATTCCCACTTTTGAAAAATGTGTGCACTCCCAGGTGCCCCATCAGAATTCTAAGCCTAGTTATG